CTGCAAAGGCCTTGTTAATGGTACACTATAAACAAAAAATTAGCTTCACACTAAGAAACAAACGAACAGAAAACACAGCAACATGAACAAGTAATCGTCACCTTTAAGCTAAGTGAGCAAACAAAATACAGAAACATCAGAGGTCTGTAGAATGAGTATATGGCATGCTAAAAGCGAAACAAAGCCCAGCACTAAAAAACAAACAAAGTATATATAGAGGTTACAATCTTTTTAGCATTGATAAGAAATTATGTATGTGCATATATGTTCAGATCCGCATCATGAAGTTTATTATACAAGTGCGTAATTCTAGACATGGGTGAGGAATCATATGGGTATTAAGGTAAAATGGTAAAATCACTCTACTACTTCGCGTCGGTACGTGAAAGTTCACAGATGATAAGAGTGATTGCTATCAGTCCGGCCAGAAGTTACTTTATGTAAAAACGCACATCACAAATGGTACGTTTTAAGTTGAAATAGTTCATAAGTGATTCATAATTATATTAACAATGTTGAAAGTATCTGTCATAAACTGTTCGCACCAGGCGCTTCAGAACTCGCTTAATTTCGTTGCTCTGACTAGAAGACATTCAAGTCATGAACGAACCAAGGAACAAAATAAATGGATCAAACATGTAAAGCTAAAAAATTATGCGTCATTCGTGAAATTAGCCCCAGTGTACGTAGGGAAGTACCCACTATCGAAGTGACTTGTTCTTTAAAAGTAAGCCGGCTATCAACAACAACGCCAAGGTAACGCACAGTAGAAACACTCTGTATGACCGTTACACACGGGAGTGTGTATTGAAAACCAACCTGATTGCGCTTTGTGGACAATGAAATAATTTTCGTCTTTTGTGGATTGAAAAACAAATTATTAGATGAGCACTACCTTGACACGCTATTTATATCTTGCTGCAATAATGAACAGTCCCCCAATGTCACGAACTGATGAATATAGCTTGATGTCATCAGAAAACAATAAAATCTTAGCATATTTAACGGAGAAAACAATATCATTTATGAGAACTAAAAAAAGGAGAGGCCCCAGGTTTGAGCCCTGTGGCCCTTTTGAAGTTGAGGAAAATTGATGGGATAATGTATTCGAAATCCGAACAGAATTCTTGCGTGAAGAAAGGTATGACTTAAACCAGGCAAGATATTGTGGACATAGGCCGTACAAGCGAAGTTTTTGGACAATAATAGAACATGATTTACAGTGTCGAAAAGCTTGGACATATCGAAGTAGATAGTATCCACTTTCCCTTGGTTAAAAGCACAAGGAACGAGTAATTAAAGAATTTCAGAGGTTAGTTTTGACTGATCTCCCCTGAAGATATCCATGCTGGTCATGATTTATCTTTTGGCAGAAATAAAAAGCCGCCCATGAACAATAATTTCAAAAACCTTCAAGAAAGAGCACAAAAGGGAACCGGGTCGGTAGTTATTGACAAGGCAAGCGTCACCTGCTTTAAATATTGGCACTATAATTACTTCTTTCCATTGCCACGGAAAAATACCAGCCTTAAAAGCTAAGTTAAAAATATGCTGTAAGATAGGAGCCAGAATGTCTCCGCAATCTTTGACTATAAAACACGGGATAGGGTTCATCCAGTCCCAATGAAGAAAAGTACTTTCTCGACAGAAATTCACGGTACAATAAACCAACAACTGGGCATGCTCGATGGCGGAGTTACAGCAACACTTCCCGTTGTGAGTGGTGGCTTGCACAGCCTGATGATGTACTGGGCACTCAGCACAGCTGAGCATATGCACCGTCAGGCTTTGTTGCATACATCCATGTCACTTCCACTGGTCGCTTCGTCAGACTGACTCTCTGACATCTTCCCTGACCTTTCCAGGTACTTAAAATTCTCTGTTTTCCTGGTTGGTAGACACAGTTGTGTTTTCCACTGTTTTGCACCTCCTCTTTTCACCTCGCCACAATGGCAAGGTGCAAGGAGAAAGTGCAAAAGAGTGGAAAGCACAAACTGTATGTTGCAAGGTGTCCATCAACCAGGACAGCCCGGAATAAAAAGGGCTTGCCACACAGTTCAGGAAAGGACACTCGGAGGGTCAGTTTAGGAGAGGAGGACAATTGGAGCTTTATCTTTGCTGCAGAAAACCAATATCCATAATAATACCATTAGCGTAATATAGAAAAAACAACTTTAAACTCACTCTGAAGCACACTGAACAACTCCATTGTAGCAAACACACGCTTCCCCTTCTGTTCATAGAGGCTATATTTCTGTCCCTGTGAGTCTTCAAACAACTTTGCAAGGATGCGAGCAGTGGCAGTACGAGGGGTGTTGCCCCCAATACCAGCAAGCTGCCGGGCCTGCAAAAGAACAATGTGGGTTAAGTGTAGGCTTTTGTGTTTTCAGATAAATCCGATAAAGTGTGATAAACATCCGCCGGCACAAAATTTGCCGATTCGGATTCACCTAAAAAACAAATTACGGAACAGCAAGTTGTACAAAACCATCCTGTCTTGAAACGTTCGCTCTCCGGAAAAGTTTTTTATGTATCTCTTCTTTTTCAGTTTCAACTTTTGCTCCTAAGCATCACACAAGGCCTAACTGGTGATAATAGCGTGAACGTCATAAAACACACACTAAGAACAGCCCCAGTTATGCTTAATATATGAAATTACACAAGGCCCCTTATCAGCAAATCAAGATAGCCTTCCTACCGCAATGGTCGAACACATCTCACCTACGAAAAGGCTGATTTACTTAAATTGGCAAATGTTGTTTTCTACCTTCGTTTCCTTCACCAAAAACCCTGAAAAACTTGGAATTTGAGTCGCATAAAAAAAAGAAAAGCTCCGAAAAACTCTATAATTTGTGGTTAAAAACGAGACATCGAAAAGCACCCTCCGATTTCGTGCAAAAGTAAGCCCCGAAAATGCAGAACCTTATTTATATAACATATTCCATCTAGATACCATTGATTTCGAAATTTATTCCTTACAATGTTCGGCATATTGAATTCATACTTATACTATCACTATGATACTAAAGCTGAAGTTATAGGTATCTATCTATTCTGAGTAGACAAAACTAAAACACAAAATAGGAGAACAATTACATTAAAAAAACAGGACAGCACAGTCTTTAACAAACAACGCAGTTCTGCTTCATCAAAATAGCTGAAATCCCTGTGCAGGTTCTTGTTGAAGTGTGAAACAATCTACAGAGTCTTGTACTATGTAAACGTTCCTACGCAAGTGCTGTGAAACTGATCTGAAAATTTTATGTTCAATCGATTACACTTTCTTCATACTGTGAAAATTGTTAGTGACGCTTAGCAGTTGCATCAGCAGCCATGGTGTTTGAGCAAGCCGCCGCCGTTTAGCTGTGTCGTACGCATGCACAGCACGGCACCGCGCATGCGCCAGCCTCTCCCAGCTCACCAACTTTCATGCCACTGTGCCAGTACTCTACCGCTTTGCGCCACCACTTCTCGGCACTACCTTCTCTCCTCCTCAACGCACCAAGCAACAGATGGACGCCAGTGCAAAATATTTGGTAGTAGGGACTCCAATGCTCTGCATTAACCATATTCAGGGTAGATTTTGCAGTGGTTTTATGTTAATATTTAAAACCAGAAACCTTGCGCGTCTTTTATATGAAGCTATAAGCCATGTCCAAGCTGGCAAAGCAAAGCACACTACCACCTAACCAAGTTATCACCTTCAGAGGCAGAAATACATAGAAAGCAAGGTTAGATGGTGCTTCTGATGCATGGTTGAATCAGATAGCTCATAACATTTGCTGCAGTCCTCTTAAAGGGCAACTCCGGTTACTTTTTGATGTTGAGAAAACGATGCAGTTCTCTTCAGTATCATCTAGAACAAGCACACGTCAAGTATCACGACGTAATACCGCTTAAAAGTTTATGAGATTGGCGAAAAAGCGCATCCAAACGCTGAGTCAAACGTCATCGAGCAGAATAATTGTTTCGTTTGTTTTGTACTAGGTAGCGCCAGTAGCAAAACAGGATCCGGACCGCGCATGCGCCTTTGTGCGCCCGCACTCTCCTCGTTGCTTCATCTGAGCTCAGCGATGGTGCAGGTCGGATTTGCGTGGAACAGACTACACTTGTAACCCGTCGTGCGGGCTGGCGCAGATGTTCGGAGCACATGGCCACGTACGAACAGTAGATGACGACACGGAACCAGTATAGGCCGCCGCAATTGAAGTTTCGGTTTCACTTTCGGGTTTACGCTTAATAAGGATTGAGATAAAAATAGTGAACTTTCTGGGAAACAAATGACGTAGAACCGTGTTTTAGTGTTTCCTAAAGTATAATAATTTATTATCCCGATATTTTCAAAACTAACCGGAGTTGTCCTTTAAGGGGGCATTGAAGTCATCTTTGACAGTCTTTTTACAATGATAACTCAATCTGTCATCTTTGACACCGTCTTTTTACGATGACAACTCAATCTGTGCGTTCCAAGCTTTCTAACAAACCCAAAGTTACAATCCTGCACAGCCTATTTCCCAGGAGATCTTTCTTGTGGTCGACGAAGAGTGCTTGTCGTCTAATTGCAGGCGATGGCTTCCCCTGAAGCCATATAACGGAGTATCCTCAGAATGTGTGCTTATCATGCTCTTTTCAAAACAAGTTATAATAACTTTGTTTAAAACCTACGTGGGTTTTAGGAACTTCCTTGGTCTAGAGAATGCAGTACACCAGAGAGATGTGTGCTTTTGTATTGCCCTGAGATGAGTTGGCGGTTTTGTGTTTCAGAACTTGAAATATGTAATAACTAATATCTTTTGAAGAATAAGATATAAAAAAATGACCTTCAGATATGACTTCAGGGCCCCTTTAAGGTGCAACAGAGTAACACATGCGTTTTCTAGAAACTTGATTTAATCTTACCAGTTGCAGGCAGAACTCCTGGCTTGCTTTCAGCTTTTCCTCAATTTCATCAACATCTGCATCTGTTTTCAATGGTAGTGAAATACAGGCTTCTTCAGCTAGCTCGCAAGGTTCTTCTCTTTCCAACAGCTTTTTGGTTATTGTTTTCAGTTGCTTCTTTACAAAGCGAAGCTCTCTTAGTATAAGACGTGAGAAATCTGAAAGCACAACAAAAACAAAAAGGGCAAACATGTTAGACAACAGATAGGATGGAATGTAGTGTCGTTTCTGTTATCCAAAGGAGGGCAGAGGGAGAAGCACCAGCTCGCTCACATAAAGATATAGAAGCTACTGCATGCGCTATAGCATCCACTAGCGCTGCTACTTAAATAGCAATACATCGGTTGCACTGACGGAATTTGGTCCTTTTTTTTGGGGTGGCCGAACTTCCTCGAGCATAGCCTATACTGTACCTATTCTACAAGCAGGTTGTGAGTGAGCAGAAAGGAGTCAGTGCAGCTTGCACCGCATTAACGACACGCTTCTGCCACCAGCGAGGAAGGACATGACGCCAAGTACAGTCCACGCATATAAACAGTACATTCAACATTAGGTTAAATATGATCATTAATAACTGCCACTGATAAGAAACAACACATCTGTATTTTGGACGAACCATTACTGTAAATTACTACTTTGGCGGGTGCGACAGCTTGCAAATTTCACGAAGTGCCAGTTTTGGCACTACGATGCAGGCACCGACATTCGCAATTGGGACCGGTATTATATATATTCGTATCCATGAGGTGACATCTTCGTGCAATAATTTTTTTGTAATTTTTTTTTCTTCGAATTACGAGGTTCGTTCAAAATAGGCACCTGTGAAAATTAAGTTGTTTACAGTATATTTCTCTTTGTAATTGCCACCTAAGCGGCTACCGAAGTAGACAAGATCGGAACATTTGCAATGCGACCTGCTGCTACATGCGCAGTATACACAACAAATGCAGTTGTGGTTGTGAGCACTGTTAGTACCATTGTGTCACAGCTTTGTGAGCCTGATTGTCTGAAGACGAGCATTCCTTCTCTGAGACAGACACTCTGTAGATGTATGTGTGGTAATTGTCTGAAGACGAGCATTCCTACTCTCAGACGGCTCTGTATATGCATGTGTTAACATTGTGCAGCTCCTAAACTTAGCAGTGCTTCCGTGTTATGTGCTGTGCTGGAGGGCTCTCCCAATTCGAACAAGTTCAAATGTGAACAATGCCTTACTACAGGCATTGGCAACGGTTATTGTTTGCGGATTAAGTGATGGTGTAACACACAGGCTGCAGTCCGATGCAGAGTGAGAGGGGACCATTAAGTGCGGGATTTACTATGGGTTTTTTGAGAAAAGGTTTCGGTATGCTGTCCTCGTTCCTTACTGGGCTGTGAAATGCTCAGCATGCAGAAAAGCTCTCCTCTGCGAAATACTGTATGCTGTGCATACTTTCATTCTCCAGAGACTCAGTTTCTGTGTTTGAGTGATAAGCATTGAAAATGTGTATACTTTCAAATGAAAAAGCTTACCTGGAGAGCTTGATGAGGGTGGGACCATGAAGTTGCCTGCAGCTTCGTAATCACCTCTCTCACTGGAATGTGAAGCAAAAAGAAAACACTAAAGAGTGTTATCAGGGTGTTTTGACTGCTCGCTTCGCTCGCGGTGGCGCACTGAGCTTGAGCACAACAAATGGTTCAGTACACCACCGTGAGGTACCATGGGAGCAAAATTTGTACCTATATATTGTCAGTGTTTCCAAATAAAGCCACAGAGAGCACTTGCAATCTAATGGTAGCACCAAAGGAACAGCACATGTAATAAAAAAAGGAAAGGAAAAGGATTTAGTGTTTCGACACCTCCTTGTAATGTGGCGATAGTGCAATCGATATGGCCTAAAAGAGAGGCATCTGCCCCCCCCCCCCCCCATGTGCATCAATTCCAAACATAGAGCAGGATCAATGTCCAAGATGAAAATTTTTTGCTCTTTTCTGTGTTAAAATTAAATGCTTATTCTCTCGGAATAAAAATAATAAAAAGTTAGAAGTGTTAGTTTATACCATGCATAAAATATTCAAGCAACTGCATGGGCGTTGATAATCTGAGTTGCACATGCACAGAAAAAACACCCACAGACCCCTGCTTTCTGCGAAAGTTAGCGATACGATGGTACATGACACCAATTGAGCAGTTGAAAACGCCCTGACAATTGGAAGCACCTTCCAGCATCTACAGCCAAAAATGTCACTGATCATACGTTTCAAGCTGTCATCGATACTCTGTACTGTTCAGATTAAGCACAGAGCGTACAACTGCCTTATCCAATTGTTGTTCTCCTTTAGCCCCATGCCCCTTTGTAATGCCAGTGGCAATGAATGTATTTGAAATTAATGAAGAAATAAAAAAATACATAGGCCCTATTGAAATTTGTTTCGTGTTCAAAACCACCTAGTTACTTTAAAGCTAACCAAAAATAACAAAGAAAAATAAATAGTATCATTTTGCAAATAGAAATGCTGATTTTGATTTTAATGATGAACTGAGATGTTGAACACATCTGTTTTGCTTTCTTGGCAAACAAAGAATGCAAACATCAATTCGCGCTTGATTGCGAGAGAAACACATTTGAAAACGGTCCCCCACATCGCTGCAACTCGAACTGGTTACCAGCAAGAATTTCGCGAAGCAAGCAAAGGTCCTTGTCAACCTGAAATCGTTTCCGAGGCCTACACTGCGACGCCTCTGCAGAAGATGTGGTGTGAAGTGACTGGCGGCAGACATCTTGGATTGAATGACAAACGTAAGCGGTGCCACCCTCCCTCTGCTTAGTAAACATGGCAGCAGAACGGAGCCTGCGCTCCGATTGCCCGTTGCCGGCTAGGCGTTGTGGGCATGCGCAGTTGCCTCCTGGCTCGGGTGGAGTCGGCCATAACAACAAAATCGCTACAAAATATGTTTAGTAAGTCTTTACTAGACATTCCCTAAGTTTCAGAACCTTGTTATCCTCGGGGACGGCTTTTCTTCGCAATGCAGTCAAAGCTACGAGCGACCGTGACCTTACACAACCAGGGCAGTGATCGAAGCTACATACGTGCTCTCTTCACTTCCGGTATGCAAAGAAAAGTTGTCCCCAAGTATAGTACCGTCCTCACGGGCCTTTGGTTTGGTCAAGGTGAACACTAAAGTGAACAAGTTAACCAAATCCGCAAGTCCTGCACTATCAGTAAGAGGTTCTTTTTAAAATCAGGGGTCTGGAAAATTGTCTCGCTGAACCAATGCTCAATTTCATAAAATATGGACATGTCATACCTGTCCTTAGCTTGTGTGAGTTAAGTCTGCATTTGATTACATTCATAGAATGCTTTCTATGTACAAAATTAACAGACATTGCTCTTTACTTCGCTTCTCCATTACAAAATATACAACATTCTCTTACCTTTGATGCCAGAAAGGTGGTGATGAGGCTCCTCCGATTCCTTCCTCATGGTCAGACTCATCCAATGAGTGTACAGCGTAATTGCTGCTGTTACGACTTTTCTCTAAAAAATATTAGATCCCTTAATTACCACAACAATTAATTAACCTCAAGTTAATTATTGCGCCCTCAGGAGCCAAGAGCAGTAGATTGTGGGAATGCATAAAAAAGCCACTACAAAATAAGTAACAAATACGCTATCAATTTGACCATTTTGGTCAAATATATTATAGAGACAGTGAGAAACTGTGCTGAGAACTAAAGTTAATCTAACTTGTAGTCCGAAGGCAAAAAAGCTAAACCGAAACCGTCCATCATAAATACCATCTTCAAAATCAGTGTCCTGATGTCAAGTGCTGTATACACAACACAACAAAGCAAACATACATGTTTTATGTTTTCTTTTGTACATATTTCAATTATTCTGTGGAAATCATCCATTGAACCAAGACATAATCTACTAGAGTAGGTTGCTGAAGGAGCCTCGTCCTGTTTTCCAGATGCTACAAATCTTTGAGACGCTGCAATTCCATAAAACAATAATACGTAGTTAACAGGATAAATATTTTAGTTCTCAAGCAGAGCAGATATTTGATTCTACATTTTTCCTTTAAATGTAGTACCATTCTTTACTGCAGTCTCTTGGTGCAAATGCGAGTTGTCATGCCGCACCTCACTAATTAAGTGGTGAAAGCAAAGCTATGTGGAGTGACCCTCGATTAATACTGTAAATGGCTTAATTTTTGTGAGGATCCCATTTTTGCAAATGTTGCCACGATCAAAATCACAAAAATTCGGTGATGCAAATAGTCACCCCATGGATACCATTACATTACATATCACTCCTAATCGCAAAATTTTGTGCCTGCGAGCGAAATATTCCTGAAACCAGCACTTCCCCAAAAAATCAACCCCGTGAAAATAAAGGTCTTTGCAGTATTCCATGCAAAATGTCAATGTCGCCAAGAAGAAAAAAGAGCTGCATCCAGCAAAAGATTTCTAGTCTCGACAGCACATGCCTCTCAAGCGCAGCAAAAGCGCGGTGGAACACAACGAGCATGTGAAGAAGGTGGAGCTACCACTGCACTCCTTACATATCAAATACTGTAGTAAAACAGGAGGCTACTTGCCTTACACTTGCACGGCTCAACGACACTGTTGTGGTTGCTCTTGATAAAAATAAAGCAGCCTACGTCGCTAAATCTAATTTTAGTCACGTCCACTAATAATGCTCTGTTTACAATATGGAAGTTTATTGATTAAATAAGCATTACTTACATGAGCCTGTTATCAGCCTGTGCCCCATTGACTAATCAATAATTGCACACCATATGCTAAAACCGAAAAGCATACCTGGAGGGCTTGATGAGGGCGGGCACACAGAGCTGCTTGCAGTTGGATGATCACTACTTTCCTTTGACGCAGCGCCACTGAAATGTGAAGCAATGAACACTAAACATTAACCAAATCTACTAGAAACTCCCAATGTCTCAGGACCTCTTTACTCCCTTGATCACGGGTAGTATTAGGTTTGGGCAAGGTCAGCACAGAACTGAAAAAGTTAATCAAATCCAAGCCTTACACTGCCAACAACAGGTTCCTTATAGATTCAGGGACCTGGAAAATTCTCCCAATGAAGAACAGCTATTTCTCATGAAATATGGGCACGTCATAAACAGCTTCAACTTGTGGGACTGAACTCTACCTTCGATTATGTTCTATTACACATTTTCTATATTTGCAGTGCGAAGCTTGCAAGGGGCACTGTTGTTTTAGAGCGCAGCTCTTAGGGGCCCGTTCCCGGCTTGAGCGGCGTCGGCGTCGGCGTAACCAAGGTCATCCCAAGGTCACGTGACCCCCAAGGTCACGTGACCCCTCCAGGTCACGTGACCCCTCCCAAGGTCCTCAAGGTCACGTGACCCCAAGGTGACCCCCACGTGACCCCCAGGTCACGTGACCCCTCTGAGGTCACGTGACCCCCAAGGTCACGTGGGGGTCACCTTGGGGGTCACGTGACCTTGAGGTGACCCCCATGTGACACCCAAGGTCACGTGACCCCCTCCCCGAAGTCACGTGACACCCCCCCCCCCGAGGTCACGTGACCCCCGGAGCATATTAAAGAATTAGGGGAGGAGAAGGAGAAGGAGGAGGGGTCTACCCTCCCCTCAGTACCCTTCACTCCTCCTCCTCAAGAGCTGTGCTCCAATTCGGCGTTACAGGGATTTGTAAACGGCTTTCACTTTTTCCTCACTATGGTTAATGTATGTGCCACAAATGCAGTTTATGTGTTCATTGTCATAGTGCATAGAGGCCAGACATTGCACGTGCTTGCACAAATAAAAGTTAAAGTATCCTCATTATTCGTGGTGATTCCTAAACGTCTCTCCTTGAATACAAAATAGGTAATGTTCTCTGACCTTTCATGTCCAAAAGGTGGTGGTGGTGGTGGTGGTGGGGCTCCCTGGAGTCCTTTCTCAACATCTGACTCATCCGATGAGAATGCTGCGCTTACCACGACAATTCTGCGCTTACCACGACCCTTCTCTGAAATTTTTTTCAATATCACTGCAATTACTCAACTCTGCTTTCCCAACCAGAAAGCCCTTTAGAGTTGGGACTTGTTATTTCGCGAGATTTTTTTTTATTGTTACTTGTCTCTGGTTACGATGCAAGCTCACCAGCTCGCCTGTGCTTTTACCCTTGTTTCATATCCATATCCATGATGCTTCCCGCCTTAAAGTAGCTTGTTATGTTACCTTATAGGTTTCCGAACACATGCTTAAAATATGCAATGCACTGAAATCAGTTTCTTAACAACAGGTTGCTGAACCAGCTGTAGTATAATCTCAGGAATGATAAGTATCTAAACAGTTAACCTAAAGGCCCTTTCACACTCTTGCGACCTCTTAAACCTGGGTTCCTTAAAACTTCTTAAACCAAAGAACACACTGGCGCCATCTATTGGGAAGCAGTGTAAACTCGGCGGTCCGGCATATTTTTTTATTTCTCGCGCATTATCCTTTCTTTATTGGCTCGAAAAACGTTTGTCAATGTTATAAACGAGCCTTTCTTTGGGTATTACGCACATTTGACCCCAAAAATCCCGCAAAACCTTCGCTCTTGTGAAATGCAGTTTTAGGGTCACCGCATAGATGGCGCCACAATGCCAGTGAGTTCCCTCATTCTAAAAACATTTAAGAAGTTTTAAGAGATCTTGTCTCTCTCAGTCGTACTCGGTCGCAAGTGTGTGAACGGGCCTTAAGATCCTACCCTTAAACCCGCTGTACTGACCGGGAAATTGGGCATAAGACTATTAGTGTAATTAATGGGGAGAAAATGTGTTATCATGCAAACTTCGTTTGAGACACTTAGCAGCTGCATCAGCAGCCAAACGAGCCTTTCATGCCTCCGGTGTCTGAGCTTGCCGCCACCATCTAGTCGTCTCAAACACATGCGCACCGCCGCTCTCCCAGGTGACCTACTTTCACGCTGCTCCACCTGTACTCTCCCTCTCTACACCACTGCCTCCTTGCCACTACCTACCCTCCTCCTCACCATCACTCCAAACGACAGACATACGCCGGCGCGCAAAATTTCGGTAGCGGGGACTTAATGCCCACATATTAAAAAAAAGAACAGTTTGAACATTTTTCGCAGTTGGAGTTTATCCGAAAAACTCCAATGTCTCATTAAAGCACCAGGTAGATGGCCCTGAGAAGTGGCCACCCTTGTCTCTTTTGTAGCATTCAAAAATTAACAAACCACTGGTCTATGACTGCTGAGAACAAGAGGCAAAGTATGTTGCAGTATTTCTCAAACCATGACAGAATCCAACCTAACTCAGACACAACAGAATCCAACCTAAGCCACTCACAACATAATCCAATCTATGCAACTGGATGGCAACTATTCTCATTCTGACTTTTGGCTAGTGCATTTGCATCTTACAAAAAGGAGTCAGTGCTTTATATGGCAGTGGAAGCCATAACCTTCAGATTTCACATTAATATTTATCATAACCGAAAACACTTTCCGTGTCTTTGGTGTGTCCGTGGGTAATATTTATTTTAATTTTAAGTTCAGATAACTGGCAATATTGCATAAATTAAACTCCAATAAATTTGAAACGTTATATCACTGAAACTTTACTGGCAGCAAACTGTGATAAGTGCCAAATTTGCAGTAAAAAATAAGCTCAGAAAACATGGAGTCCTAGGCAAAACATATCAATGTATAATGTTGCCAAAGTTCTAACAGTTCACATAAAAATTGAGCACCTTGGTCAGTTGATGTTGCAACATTATCAGTATCCTCCGCTTTTCTTAGTTTCGATCTTGCTTTCTGGAAAGTATCTAAAAAGATAAGCAGACAATGAAATAGCATATTTCACAACCGAAGACTGTCAAAATCCAAAGTAGAGATGGCATATTTATATAGGGTTGCTCAAAGATCAAATGAAGCATTCATCTAAGAAAAAGATTTGCTTACTAGAATGAAGCATTTGCCTCAGAAAAAGATTAGCATGTTTAATTCCCTCCTACAAGAAAGGTGTAGGCAGTTAAAAGTGTTCCATAGCACATGGATTACCTCATATTAGGAAAAATCAGGTACATGTGGGCTGACTCTACTTCGAGACGGCAAGACCGCTCAAAAAAAGTGAGAGCAGCATAGACGCCTAGAACTATCGAAATTATATGAGCTCCCAAGGGGTCTTATTTTATGTAATGGGCTTCAGTTTATGTTAGGAGTACCCACCGATATCTTTGTGGTTGTGGATTGAGAATAGTAGTCACTAGAAATGTAACATCAGATTTATGACCACGGTAGTTAGCCAAATTCCCCTACATTTTCTGACTTCGGTAGACACTCGGCTAAAAAAAGCATAAAAAAGACAGAAAACATGTTGGCTTCCCTACCTTCCTTGCTCAGGATGACAATGCTGTGCCTTGTGTATGTCAAATCTGGGGACTCTCTGAGTTTCACGGCTTTGATAGCTCTTGATGCCCTAAACTTCGACGGCCAGAGGCACTCATTTCCATCAAGCCAATTCGACGGGACCACGTCAACACTGCTATCACTTAAAAAACGAACAACTGCAAACATATTGTCTGAAATGATGGAACAACAAGGTCATACAG